TGCCTGTCTTTTGGATAAAAGCCATTTTAACTGGGGTGAGATGAGATCTCATTGTAATTTTGATTTGCATTTCTCTGATGATCGATGATATTAAGCAAGTTTTCATGTACCTGTTGGCCATTTATATTTCTTTTTTTTTTCTTTGTCTTGTCTGATTGCTGTAGCAGGACTTGTAGTACTATGTTAAATAACAGTGGTGAAAGTGGGCATTCTAACTGTGTTCCAGATTTTCAAAGAAAGTCTTTTCAGTTTTTTCCATTAGATATTATGTTAGCTGTGGTTCTGTCGTGTATGGCTCTAATTATCTTGAAGTTTGTTACTTTTGTACCCAGGTTTTTTGAGGGTTTTTATTATAAAGGCACGTTGAATTTTATCAAATGCTTTTTTTTAAACATCAGTTGAAATAATCATATGGTTTTTGCCCTTCATTCTGTTGACAGGGTGTATCACATTGATTGATTTGCATACGTTTAACCATCCTTATATTCTTGGGATAAGTTGCACTCGATCATGATGAATGATCTTGTTAATGTGTTGTCGAATTTGTTTTGCTAGTATTTTATTGAGAATTTTTGCGTCAGCGTTCATCAGGGATAGTGGTCTATAGTATTCTTTTTTTGAGGTGTCTTTGGTTTTGATATCAAGGTAATATTGGCCTTGTAGAATAAGTTGGAGGTATTTCCTCCTCTACTTTTCAGAACAGTTTGAGTGGGATTGGTTTTAGTTCTTCTTTAAATGTTTGGTGAAATTCAGCTGTGAAGTCGTTGGGTCCCAGGCTTTTCTTTGCTGTGAGACTTTTTATTGCTGGTTCAATCTTGTTACTTATTACTGGTCTGTTTATGCATTGGATTTCTTCATGCCTCAATATTGATAGTTTGTATAGGTCTAGGAATTTATCCATTTTTTTCTGGGTTTTCCAATTAATTGGTGTATAGTTGCTCATAGTAGCCACTAATGATACTTTGAATTTCTGCAGTATCAGTTGTCATGTCTCCTTTTTCATCTCCGATTTTATTTGGGTCTTCTCACTTTTTTTCTTAGTCTGGCTAAATGTTCATCAATTTTAACTTTAAAATAAATAAATTTTGTTGATCTTTTAAATTATTTTAAGTTCATTTATTTCTACTCTGATCCTGTGTGTGTGTGTGTGTGTGTGTGTGTGTGTGTGTGAGAGAGAGAGAGAGAGAGAGAGAGAGAGAGAGAGACAGGGTCTTGCTCTGTCACCCAGGCTGAAGTGTCGTGGTGTAATCATGGCTCACTGCAGCCTTGAACTCTGGGACTCAAGTGATCTTCTTACCTCTGCCTTCTGACTAGCTGGTAGTACAGATGTGTGCCACCACACCAAGCTAATTTATTTATTATTTTTTTTAGAGAGAGCGTCTCATTATGTTGTCCAGGCTGGTTTTGAACTCCTGGCCTCAAGTAGTCCTCCTGCCTTGGGCTCCTAAAGGCTAGGATTACAGGCATGAGCCACTGTACTTGGTCTACTCAAGCTTTCTTTATTTCTTTTCTTCTAACTTTCGGTGTAGTTTGATCTTGCTTATCTAGTTATTTAAGATGCATCATTAAGTTGTTTATTTGCAGTTTTTCTACTTTTTAATGTAGTTGTTTATAGCTATAAACTTCCCTTTTAGTACTGTTTTTACTGTATCCCGTAGGTTTTGGTATGTTGCATTTTCATTTTCATTTGTTTTAAAATTTTTGAAATGTCTTCTTAATTTCTTCATGGAGCCACTGGCCATTGAGGAGCATATGGTTTAAATTTCACGTGTTTGTATAGTCTCCGAAATTCCTCTTGTTACTGATTTCTAGTTTTTATTCCATTGTGGTCAGAGAAAATACTTTATACTATTTTTACTTTTCTGAATTTTTAAGGAGCTATTTGACAGCCTAACATATAGTCTATCCTTGAGAATGATTCATCTGTTGAGGAGAATAATGTGTATTCTGCAGCTGATGGAGGAAATGTTCTGTAAGATGCTGGAGAGGGTGTGGAGAAATACGAACGCTTTTACACTGTTGGTGGGAGTGTAAATTAGTTCAACCATTCTAAAAGACAGTGTGGCGGTGCCTCAAGGATCTAGAACCAGAATTACCCTTTGAACCAGCAATCTCATTACTGTGTATGTACCCAAAGGATTATAAATCATTCTATAAAGACACATGTGCACATATGTTTATTGCAGCACTGTTCACAATAGCAAAGACTTGGAACCAACCCAAATGTCCAGCAATGGTAGACTGGATAAAGAAAACGTGGCACATATACACCATGGAATACAATGCAGCCATAAAAAAGGATGAGTTCCTGTCCTTTGCTGGGATATGGGTGAAGCTGGAAACCATCATTCTCAGAAAACTAACACAAGAACAGAAAACCAAATGTCACGTGTTCTCACTCATAAATGAGAGTTGAACAATGAGAACAAATGGACACAGGGAGGGAAATATCACACACTGGGCCCCTCGAAGGGCGGAAAACTAGGGGAGGGATAGTGTTAGGAGAAATGCCTAGCGTAGATGACGGGTTGATGGGTGCAGCAAACCACCATGGCACATATATACCTATGTTACAAACCTGCAGGTTCTGCAGATGTATCCCAGAACTTTAAAGTATAAACAAAAGAAAAAAAAGTTCTACAAATATCAATTTTGTTTGGTTTATAGTACACATTAAGTCTGATGTTTCTTTGTTGATTTCCTGTCTGGATGATCTGTCCAATGCTGAAAGTGGGGTATTGAAATCTCTAGCTATTATTGTATTGGGGATCTCTCTCTTTAGCTCTAATTTGTTTATATATCTGGGTGCTTCTGCTTCTTTTAATTATTTCACTGTTTCAGTTAAATTTCTCTGATAGAATTCTTAATTCCTTCTTTGTGCTATCTTGAATTCCACTGAGTTTCCTCAACAGCCATGGATTATCTGTCTGAAACGTCACACATCTCTGACTCCGGCATTACTCCTTGGGGCCGTATTTAGTTCATATGGTAAGGTCATGTTTTCCCGGATGGTGTTGATGTTTGTGGTTATTCATGTCTGGGTATTGAAGAGTTAGATATTTATCATAGTCTTTGCAGTCTAGGCCTGTTTGTACCTCTTCTTCTTGGGAAGGCTTTCCAGATATCAAAGAGCCTAGGTGTTGTGATACAAGTTTTTGGTCACTGAAGCCATATCTGCATTATGGGGCACCACAAGCCCAGTAATGTTATGGCTCTTGCAGACTTGTAGAGGCACTGCCTTGGTGGTCTTGGATAAGGTTCAGAAAAATTTTCTGGATTACCAGAGGCTCCTGTTCTCTTCCCTTACTTTGTCCTAAACAAATGGAGTCTCTATCTATGTGCTGAGCTGCCTGGAGCTGGGAGAAGGGTGTCATAATTTACCCTGTTGCTACCTCCACTGGGACTGTTCTGAGTCGGACCTGAAGCCAGCCCAGCACTGGGTCTTGGCCTGGCCCTGCAGCAGCTACTACCAGGCTATTGCCTGTGTTCCCTCAAAGCCCAAGGGTTCTACAACCAGCAGGTGGCAAAGCTGGCCAGGCTTGTGTCCTTGTTTTCAGGACAACGAATTCTCCTAGAGTGTTTCCAGTAATACCATCTGGGAGCCAGAGCCTGGAGTCAGAAACCTTAGGAATCTCCCTGGTCCTCTATTCTGCTGTGGCTGAGCTGGCACCCGAAGCACAAGACAAAGTTACTCCCACTCTTCCCTCACTTTCCCACAAGGAGAGGAGTCTCTCCCCGCGGCCCCTACTGCCCCAGGGCTGCCTGGCTACTGCTAATGTTCACTCACTGTCCAAGGACTCTTTAATCACCTTGGCGCTCTACCCTGCTGCGGCCAACCTGGTATCTAAGCTGCAAGATGAAGTCTGCTTTACTCTTCACTCTCAGGATCTAAAGCAAGAGTTTCTCCATGCAGCCACCTGGCTGGGAATGTGCTGAGTCACACCTGAAGCCAGCTCGTCGCAGGCTCACCCAAAGCTGATGGCAAGTACTAGCTGGCTACTAGTGATCATTATTCAGAGCCCAAGGGATCTTGAGTCTGCAAGTGACAAATGCTGCTAAGACTGGCTCCTTCTCTTCATGGCAGTGGGTTCCTTTCTCACCCAGGGTGTGTCTAGAGCTGTTATTCAGGATTTAGGGTTTGAAATGGGGGCTTCAGGACTTTGCCTGGTACCCTATTCTGTGGCTGAGCTGGTATCGAGCTTTCAAGATAAAGTTCTTTACCCTATTGTCTTCTTTACTGAGGAAAGGAGTCTCTCCAGGAGCTGTGAGCTGTGCTACCTGGGAATGGGTGAGGGGCGGCAGGCCCTCCTTTAGCTACCCTAGCTGGTGTCTCTCTAGGTTGCATGTCCCTCAAGTGTGCTGGCTCTGAGCCCACCACAGCACTAGCACTTGCTTAGTTGTAGTCCTTATGGCTTAGGTTGCCCTTTGAGTTTATTTAGGACTCCAGAGAACTTTAGCCTGTGGTGGTAAAGCTTGCTGGAACTCAGGTTCTGACTGCTGGACTGAGCAATTCTCCTCTGGCTTTCGCTGGTCTGAAAGCTCCCTCCATGGGTGCTGGCTGGGTTCTGCTATGATAGGGCAGCACTGAGTTCCAATGCAAAATCCCGTAATCGCTACATTCTGCCTCTCCCAAGTGCACAGATTTTGTCTCTATGCCATGCGGCCACTGCCAAGGGATAGGGGAGGAGTGGCACTGACAATTCAGCACTTTCGTGGCTGGGTGCAGTGGCTCACACCTGTAATCCCAGAGCTTTGGGAGGCTGAGGTGGGAGGATCACTTGAGTCCTGGAGTTCAAGACCAGCTTGAGAAACATGTTGAAAACCTATCTCTAGAAAAAGTGCAAAAATTACCTGGGGTGGTGGCACACATCTATAGTCCCAGCTACTTGGGAGACTGAGGCAGAAGGATTGCCTGAGCCTGGGAGTTGAATGCTGCAGTGGAAGCAGCTATGTTTTCTGGGGTATAAACCCAGGGTTTGTCATCATGCCAGTAAAATTCTGGACACGAACACACATGAGGAGTTTAGGAGTGGAAGTTTAATAGAAGAGAAGAGAAAGAGAAACAGTTTCCTCTATAGAGGAAGGGGTCTTTGAGTGGGAAAGGACTGGGCGGAGTTAAATGTGCTGTTCCATAGTCCAGTTTGAGGAGGCAGTGTCTGATTTGCATAGGGCTCACAGATGGGTTCAATCGGGTATGACATTTACATAGTACTTGGGAAAGGTTGGTCGCTCCAACCTAATCTTCTTATGCAAATTGGCTTTCCCGTTGGTTGGTGCCATTTTGTCTGCTCCTTACATTGCAAATGGGCTGGCAGAAAAGGGAAGATGGAGCCACCGTTTTGAAAATGTCTAGTCCTTAGTTCCTAACCTGTATTCACTTGTGCAAGCTCCCAGCTTGCAGGCTGCTTTTTGTTAGAAAGTGATTTGGGGCTGCTTTTCATTAAAAGAAAAGCCTTAGCAAGGACTCCCATGTCATTGCCATCTGCCTAAATAATTACTTATTAACTCCTATGTGGCAGTGAGCCATAATTGTGTCACTGCAACAGAGCAAGACCCTGTCTCAAAATAAACAAATGAAGAAAAAAGAGATTTTCCTACCTTTCTCAGTGCCTCTTTCAATGATAAGAAGTATAAAATGGGTAGTGTGACTGCTCACCTGATTTTGGGCTCCTATGAAGGTGCTTTTTTGTGTGGATGGTTGTTACATTAGTGTTCTTGTGGGGAGGAAGATCAGTATAGGCTTCTGTGTAGCCAGCCATCTTGCTGGGACTCCCTCTAGGCTTCTCACGTACTTAGGGACATTGATGACTCTGTGGCAAGCAATGCTTCCCCATGATAGATGGTGCAAGTGCTCTAGCTCGGATTTTTATTAAGAAGTTCATATAGTATATAGTATCCACATGCCAACTCCCAAGTAGTGAACTGCTTATGCACATAGATATTTCAGGAAATCATGGTCTTCACAAAGCCTATATACTTTTCCTTAACCAGGAATGATGATCCCCTTTTTTGAACCAATTTATCAAACTGTGGCTACAGAGGTTTCTTTGATTAGTATATGTAGCTCCCAACTTTCTTTGAACCTAGTTGGATGACCAAATTTGATGTTTTCTAGCCTCAGACCACCGTTAGAGACAAGGAATATACTACATTTCAAAGGAAGTTTATATATGCAGTATAGGAGGACAGATGACCTACTTTATTGGATTATTTTCCTTACATTCTTTAAAAAATAATTAGCATAGTTGCTTATTATACAAGTGTTACTTAATGTAATCAGTAGTTCATTTCTTATACTTTAAAATATAGCTGTGATGGACGGGGATGGGTAGAAGAAATGATTAAAAAGTTGGGTGGGTAGTTATAGACTCATTTGAGAAATAATATGTTAATACTGCAGTAAGTTTTTGAAATTCTAATAATGAAAGTGCAGGACCAATAAAAGAAAATAAAAAAAAATACCCGGTGAGTAACTTATGGAGCTTATGCCTTTGGTAAGCATTTTTAGGGCAGCCAGGCAAGGCCTTCCTGAATTGCCTATCATTTGGCTCTATAATCAATTACTAAATATTAAATAGGGTGGGCCAAGGTCCTTACCTGGTGAAGTCATTTTTCTGTTACTTTTGCATTTAGGTTTATAAGCAGTCCTAGCTTCCATGATGGACACTGATTGAACATCTACTTTTAAGACTGCTTTAAAAATAAATAAATAAATAAAAAACCTTTCCTGGAGGCTTAGATACAAATTTGAAAGGGACGTGACATCAGAAGTGCTTATGAGTTTCTTATAAAAATTTAATGGAGCTTGTGATATAAAATGAAATAATGAATCAACTTATGACAGGCTGCCTTTACTGACAGTTCAAGATACAAATAACTCATTTCAGAGACCATTTACCTAAGGCTTTTAAATTAAATTTTCTAACTACCTTCCATGTTCAACTCGACATTTAAAGCAAACAGAATTTCACTTTAGGAAACTGAAGCTATTAATGATCATAGAATAGTAGATTCATATTGGCCTTTCAATAAAGGGCTGAGTATGCCAAAAATCTGAAGGGTATTACTGTAAATAAAAATCATTATTAAGAACTAAAAAGTGCAAATTGATTTTCAAGTTTGCTATTCCTGCTGGCACATAATAAAATAAAATAATAATAATCTACCTTAAAATGTTTCCTGGAGAGGAGGAGGTCCTGGAGCAATACGGAGCTCTGTGCCATTGATAAGGATTGCCAGGTATGTAAAAGTGATGAGTTGGAGGACTGCGTGAATGAAACCTAGTTATAAAGGCCAAAGGTCAGCAGTACACCATTAGGTGTATTTGTTTCTTAGTCAGAAACATCACCCGGAACTCCAGCAAAGACTGTTCACAAGAGGTTTTCACCCAAGTCAGTCAGTGTTTGTTGCTTATAAGGTGTTTTGACAATTGGGGCTGGCTCTAAGGAAAATAAACTAGGAATAGTTGACATTAGCATTGCTCTCTTTATCTTTTTCCTTGCTTTTGATCCCCTTGTCTGCCACATACTTATACACACCAATAATAGAAGTCTAAAGCAAACCTATGGAATTAGTGACTCACAGTGGCATCCATTCCTCCTCACCCCTCCCAGGAATATTGTCCTGTTTAAAGAGAGCCCACAATGTTTTTCTCAAAGAGGGTCAAACAGTGACTAATATTATTATGCCCATTTTGCATGTTGGAGACCTGAAATTGAGGGTAGAATAAACTCCTTACTCAAGGCCACATAGTTAGGAAGTTGCAGAGCAGGAATTTATACCTAGATCCAGTTAAGTCCCAGGATCTTGAACACTAAGCTATGTCACCTCCCAGTCTCTGGCAGACGCTTTGCAGGAAATCTCTTAGGTAGGAAGAGGAGAAAGAGTTCCTGCTCTCCCACAGAGCCATGTTGTATACCCACCTCTCCTTCACCGGCTCATCGTCCATCTGGCCCAGGCCTCCTTGAGTTGCCGTGATTGCTAACTCATGGCTATTTATTCTGACTTCTACGTCAGCCTTGGCCTTCCTTTAGATTGGCAGCAAGTCGTCATTTTGAATTTTAACCCCTTCACATTCCGTGTTTCTTCCTGTTTCCTCAGGTTTTCACTCTCCTGGGATGACCCAGGTATAGAATCTGCCCCTGTGGTTCAACCCTGCCCTCTCACCTGTCTCTTGAGACCATTGTGAAGTTCTAAGACATAGCAAAGACAGAAATACAGGGTATGGAAGATGCTTTCAAGTTGGTTAGTTACTCTTACTGATTAAATTAACACTTCATGATCATCTTCGTCTGCACAGGCTGCCAAAACAAAATACCAGACACTGAGTGGCTTAAATGACAGAAATTTTCTTGAATTCTGGAGGCTGAAGGTCCAAGATCAAGGTGCCAGAAGGTCTGGTTTCTTCTCAGGCTCCATCCTTGGCTTGCAGATGGCATCGTCTTCCTGTGTCCTCACATGACCTCTTCTCTGTGAATGGAGAGAGAGAGAGATCTCTGGGGGCTTCTCCTTTTGTTAGAAGGACCCAGTCCTATTAGATTAGGGCTTCACTTTTATGATATCATTTAACCATAATCACTTCTTTAAAGGGTCTATCTCCAAACAGAGTCACATTGAAGGTTAGGGCTTCAGACTATAAATTTTAGGGGAACACAACTCAGTCCATAATAGTTAGCAAAGTAGAAAGCAGGATACATGAGAATATGGTAACTTGAGAATCCGACTTTATTTTTCTCTGTATATGTAAGCTAAGTTTCAGGCCTTTAGTGAAGGTTTCTTCCACTGCAGATGGAAAGGAAAAAAAAAGGCCTTCATAGAAGGAACAACCATATAAAAATGACTTTAGACATTTGCTTCTCTGATGGTCAGCTCTGAGAAATGCTTCTTTGTCTCTGTGCCCAGTTGTTGCTCATAACTATATGTAGGATGACCATTCATCCTGATTGAATAGAATAATACATTTAATAGTGCTGGTTGTCTCGACTAATGATTAATAGTGTCTTCTTTTTCTTCCAAAGTTTAAGTGACACAGATATCTAACCTATAAAGGAGTTTTTCAAGTTTAAGCTATTTTTTACTGCCTAGATTTAAGTAATTTTCTTATTTTCCTCTCCACAGAAGTATACCAATATATCTTTCATAACCCTTGCGGTGTGATCTCTACTCTTCTGAGATTTTTGCTCCTGCCCCCTCTTCTGTTTGTATTCGTGGGCTTTGTCTCCTTTTACTCTCTTGTCCTGCATGTATCTACTCATATATAATCAGTTTCTGTGAATTTTTGTCTGCTGCCAGGGCATTGGTTTCCTCCATGCCTGTCAATAGCAGTTACAGTTTCTCACATTCAACCAATGCTAGAAGTTTCAGAAGTTAAGATTAGCAGGTGGATGAGTTTTAACCAGATTTTAAATGTGTAGTGCTAATTTTATAGCTTCACTTATTACAGAAAAACATCCACACATCTCCTGTGGAGGCAGCTAAGCTGATTAGTGCATGGAGCTAATGAAACCCACAGCTTTGTCTCCCTTTTTAAGGCTGTCCATTGGCGTAGCCTTATCTCTAACGGAGGCCGGCTTCTGTGGTCCTCCGTCTCATCAACCAGTGATGATGCTTATTGTTGGTCATAGGAGGCTTGGTAAGAGAGAGGATCAGCTTCCTTCCTGCTACTGAAAAAACAACTCATGGCACTCACTGGGGAAGCAGAGTGCTCAGCAGGACAATCATCTTATGTTAAGGTCAGCACGTTATTAAATATTCTCCATAGGGAGGTGATTGGATTAAATAATTAGTGAATGTAAAGTACTTTAAACTGCTAATTATTATGCTTTGTGGGTCTGCGTTGCAGATGATCCACAGTCAGTGAGACTATTACAAGGCACGAGGAGCAGGATGATGTTCTCTCTCACTTATCTCCATTCCCCATGAGTGTTTATAATGATATCATGGATGAGTTTTGGCATTTTGCAGCATTTGCAAATGTAATCTACCATGTGACTTCTCAAACTTTGGTACCCAAGAAAAACGGGACAAGATAGCTAAGGAAACCTTTTTAGGAGAAAAGGAAGATTAGAAACACTAGATTAGCAGCAA